CAGTACTTGATGAAAAATACCTGTTCCATGTTATGTCTAAGATGTTTGATATTTAGACAGATGGTGAGGTTAAGCCTACCTAGACTTTTCTGCCAGGAGACTCGTAGTAAGATTTTTTTTCTCTCTGATTGACAGCTTTTCCAAAATTTGAGTGTTTTACCTTTCCCTCATTTTGTATGTGTGTATACTAGTCATTGAATTTCTTGGATCTGTGAGTTTATTATTTTTATCAAATTTTATGTTTATGTTTCAAATAGTATTCTCATCTGGTTTTACTTACGTATTCATTAGACTGCTTATTAGCTTAATATCGTCCTGATCGTGCCCTTTTCCTCTTTTCTGTCCTCCTGTCTCCCTTTTCTGGCTTCTTAGCTCCTCCCTCCCTCTCTGTTTGTGTGTGCTTTAATGGACTCACTGCCCAAAGTGGCCTCAAATTCCCTGGCTGAAGTCTTTCTCATGCTCCCAAGCAGCTGAGACCACAGGCAGCTGCCGCTGTGCCCAGTCCTTTGTTACCTTTTTCTTATGTTTCAGTATGGGTAGTTTTTGTTGCTTCTGATTTTAGGAACTTTTCTGCTATTGTTTTAAATGTGTGTCAGTTTTCTATTTCAGATGTTTTTGAATAAGGATCTTTTTCTTTATGTTTACCATTTCTCTCATTATGTCTTTCTTTAAATCCTTAAGCATTTAAAATAGGAATTTTAAAGTTCTCACTTGCTAATTTGGTCATCTTGTTTCTGAGGCTGTTTTAATGAATTCGTTTCACTCCATAATTCCAGTCACATCATATTTTTTTCTTTCTCCCCCTCCTCCCCATATCTCTCAATTTTGGTTTGTTTTTGAGATAGAGTCTTGCCATATTGCTTTGTCTGGTCTCAAGCTTACAGACTTAAGTTGTCTTCCTGCCTTTGATCTCCCAAGCAGCTGAGCCACTAGGCATGCACTACCACATCTCACTACATGTATCACCTTGCTGTGTGTATCTTTTTTTCCTTGGGCACCAAACATTTTTTTGTTTTGTGGGGTTTTTTGTTTGTTTGTTTGTTTGTTTGGGTTTTGTTTTGTATTTTAGGGAAGGGTCTACAGGGTGTTCAGGGTCTCACTATTAGATCTGACTTGTAGTGATCCACCTGTTTACACTCCCAAGAGCTGGGATTACAGGCATGCGCTACCACAACCAGTCTCAACCACCATCTCAGTGCATCCTGGGGACAGGGCCAGCATGGCAGGCCCAGGGATCTCCTGGTCCCCAGGCCTGCTTGCAGGCACTTTAATCCACTGAGTTATTTGGCCAGCTCTTATATTGTTGATTAATATAATTGCTTTCCTCCTTTTAAAGAATTTTGAACTTTGTCAGCAGCAATGAGTATCATTTACTCTAGAGTTTCTTTTAGGTCTACTAAAATATGACTCTTCCTAGGTTTCTAGTGAATTCTTGGTTTTTCAGTGAGGCAGAATTTTCTTGTTAGAAAGCATGCCAGGCATGTTGGCACATGCCTGTCGTCCTACCACTTGGAAGGCTGAGGCAGGAGAGATCACTGCAAATTCAAGGCCAACTTGGGGTACATAGTGAGTTCAAGGTCAGCCTGAATTACATAGGGAGACCCTGTCTCAAAAAAGAAAAAGAAAAAAAGAACTTCTTTTCCCTGTACTGTGTGAACCCTAGTAATTGTTCAGCTGGTAGAATTTTTTTTTTCTTCTCCTCATGGATTTTCACCTTTATCTATAACTTAGTGTTGGCCACATAATAAAGTGTATCAAATTTCTGGAATTTTCTATGCATAACTCCCTCTACAGTTATAAGCTCTTGTGTGTTTTTATCCCTGTACTACAGTCTGAAAAGTGTCTTCAAGTAAAAAGCCAGTGCACTTGTCAGTCTCACTACTTTTATTTCCTACATCTCAAAAATCAGCCTTGCAGGGTATAGTGGCTTGTGGTAGCACTCAAGAGGCTGGGCCTGAGTTCAAAGCCAGACTGCACTACAAAGCAACACCACCTCAACAAACAAACAAACACCCAAATGAAACCTAAAAACAAAACAGTCCTACCTTGTTTATTGTCCAGTGTCTGAAAAGTGTTAGTGTTCTGTTTACTGTGGGCTAAAAAGTATAAGCCTTGCTATTCCATCATGGCCATTGGAAATTTCTTCTCTTTCCCTTTAAAAATAAAGATAAATTCCTTTTATTTTCTGTAGCAATTTGAGTCTTATGAAGTACGTTATTAATACCTGTGAATACCAAGTTCATTCCAGTCTCCTGTTCATAACCTAATAATTTTCAGAGTGACATTTTACATGGCTCAGCTATAATGCAGTAATGAACAAAATGGTATAGAATTATTATATAGTATTTTAAGCAAATAAAACAGTATTCACATTATAATAAAACTCCAGTGAACACTTCAAGAAAGTACTTAGGTCGTTTGAATTATGGCTTTACAAAGAATTGGGCTTCTGATTATAGTTATAAGACAGTTATTGGAGAGCTGGGGATTTAGTTCAGTGGCACAGTGCCTGCCTGGCAAATACGAGGCCCTGAGTTTGGTTCCTGCTACACAAAGAGAAAAAGACAATTATTGGTTTTAATCATCTTATTTTCTGATCAAATACTCAGAAACAAAATAATAAGCTAATCATTGATGTCTTGCCAAAGATGATCCTCAGTGAATTAAAATGTTTAGTGATAGTACTATAAACCTGTTAAAAACTGCTTGCCTTTTATTGTGTAGCCTCTGTTGTCCCTTTGGTAGGGTCAAAGCAAAGGCAAAATTCTGTATTTGCTATGATAGCTGTACATTCTTGGGCTATTCTTAACATGTTTGTTAGTTGATTTTTTGTTGTTTGTTTGTTTTCTAGCTTGTCAGTATTTAAACAGACCACATCATGCGTGAGTACAAGCTAGTGGTCCTTGGTTCAGGAGGCGTGGGAAAGTCTGCTCTGGTAAGTTAGCAATTTAACTACAACTAACTAGTCAAAGCAGAAATTTAACATTACTGGCTTGCACACTTGTAGTAACTAAGGAGAAAAATGTGACTTTTTTTTAATACACCTCATGTCTATCTTATAAGGGATGGGATCATCCAGTAAGCAGTGGTGTGTCATTTCACATAGTGGTTCATTTATTCTTTTATTTACCAAATATTAATTGGATGCTTCATATGTCAAGCACGAGTGTTCCCCATCCAAAGAATATGATTGTTCTCATTTTAAGGAACTTACATTATGCCAAGGTAAACTGTATTACAGTCTACTGGAGTAAGTCCTTCCCTGCTTTTACTTCAAGCTTACACAAAACAAACGTTATTTTTTGCATACATGCTAGATTGACTATGTAAAGAACTCTTGTGCTTATACAGACATTCCCCATTTAATGACTTGCTTGTTTTATGACTGGACTTAGTACTGAGGCATGCTGCTCAGACTTGACCCATACCTCAAGACTATTGATATGTCCTTTCTGTACAGTTCCGTACATCTTGTTTGTAGAACCTGTCTTTTTTGTACAGTATTCCTTTATACAGTGCTGTTCATTTTTGCTGGTTGTACTGTACCATATAATACTGTGGTTTTATGTTGTTATACATTACAGTACTGCATGTAAAAGTTACACAAATAAAAGCAAAGTCATCAGGTTGGAATTTCCTTTGAGCATTTCTTTGTCTGAATATAGCATATATCATATACAGTTCCTGATTTAGTGACCAGTGCATTTAATGACCTAGTCACAGGAACTGAACACTCAGTCAGTAAACAAGGAATGCACATACAGTGCCAGAGTGGGGTCACAACAGCAAGCAGGAACATTGAGAGTAACTCTGTCATGGAACTTAGTAGCAACACAACAAATACAGTTATAGAAAGAGTTACTTGGTTATAAATGTGAGAGACATACTCTGAAAGAAAAGTACATATTGTTTTGGGAGAGCCTATGACAAATGGACTTACATTAGTTAGCCTTTGAACAACTGAAAGAAAAGTCTAGCTGGGGCACAATTGAACAGGGAGGAATGTAGAAGGATAGGGGCCATACCAGGACTTGAAGGCCAGCGACGAACTTGGAATATGTTTTCAATAACAATGAGGACATTGAAGGTCAGATTGGAGGAGGAAGGTACGCTGGATATATGTTTTAGTGGTACAGTGGTGCTCTGCTTAACTGAGAAGAGAAACAGTGGATATGAGAGCTAATTAAGAATATTTAATATTATTTTTTAAAAAAAAGAATACTATATTATTGCTTATAGAAACGATTTAGGACATTGGCAGTGAAGAAGCGATATACAAATGGTCTGAGGATTCAATAGGAGGTAGACTTGACACGGCCTAGTGCTGGATTGATGCAGGATCTAGGAAAGCAGGAAGAGTTAGAAATGCTTTATGTTTCTGAGATGTTCAAGTAACTATATCAAATAAACAAATGAATTTTCAACATAAGCACTTACAAGTCTGGGTGTGGTGGTATGTATTTGTAATCTCTCCTGCCTCCAGAGGCTGAGGCAAGAGGATCATCATGAATTCAAGGCCAGCCTAATCAACATAGCAAGACCCTGTGTCAAAAAAACCTGAAGAAAAGCTTAAAAGGGGCCTGTGATAAGATTTTGAGTGCCACCAGTAGACCGGTATACTTAATTTCATGAGACCTAAGTTACTATTAGAGTGTAAATTAGCCTTTGTAGAAATACATGAGACTATGTCTTTCAAATGCAAGTAAAGTTCATTTCAGCAGTTCTCTTTCTGAAAATTTATTCTTCATATAAGCTCACATGCATAAAAGTGACACTATCAGGATTCAAGCATAGTGCACACCTGTAATGCCAAGACTCAGGAGGCTGTGTACTTGTGAACCTTCAGAGAATAGATGGGATTAGAGAATCCAGCATAGGAGAATATATCTTCTACTCTGCTTTACTGTACAAAACATGTCTACTCGGTTGCTCAGAATTCAAATGTAAAAGAGGAAAGAAATGATCTAGGAACAAGGAAGTAGTTGAGTGTGATAAAAGAAGTAGCCTTGGGTCAGCAGCAATGCCTCGGCCCTCTGAGGTGTGAGTTAAAGTAGAAATGAGACCTGGGGAAATGCAGCGGCCATGCAGACTGTTGAAGAGGCTTGATATGTGAGAGAGCAGAGAAGAGGCAGAAGCCAGAGGGAATGTGGCGTTAAGGGCGGTTCTTGTGGAAAGACCAGACGTAGCAGAGCATGTTTGTGTTGGAGGCAGCAGTCAAGGAAAGGGGAAAATGGTGATGGAGGAGAGAAGGGAAGAACACATCCGGAATGGAAGTCAGCAGGAGAAATTTCAAACCCATCTGAATGAATAAGATGTTGCTGAGAATTGAGAAGGCAAAATTCAGAGAAGTGATGGAAGATTACTTTTACTGAGAAAAAAGTGACACTTTTCATTTTTGCAAGTCATTAATGTCTGCACTGAGATAGCTCAGTGGACTAAGCGCCTGCTTAGGCAAGTGCAGAGACCAGGGTTCAATCCCTGGCACAACATGTCATGCCGGTGCCATCCCCAGGCATGCTGAGCTGGCCACTGAGACCAGGCGTGGTGGCACATGCCTGTAATCCCAGCACTGGGGAAGCTGAGACAGGAGGATCACTGCAAGTCCAAGCTGCGTAGTGAGGCCCTGTACCAAATACATGAAAAATAACAAATAAAAATAAAAATAGTATGACTTTACAAACCTTCTGGGCAGTATGTGGAGAGCTGAGGCTCTAGTATTAAGCATATTAGGAACCATATCAGACTTATTTTTCATATTTAAATTATCATACTAAGATAAGGAAATTAAGTACTTGACAAAAATTATGATTGAAGCTTTTGGTGTGATCATCTCCAGAATTTCCTTTAAATTAGAGAAGTTTGAAGTTTACTGTATTCAAATTTTGTTTAACTCAAGCTTAAATAGAGTATAAAATATTTCTCTTAATAATTTAAGTATAGTTGACCTCTGTCATATTTTTATCTTTGCCTTAAAGTAATAAATAATAACACCATCTGTTTTAAAGCTGTCTAGGAGGTATCTCATATCCATCTGCTATACTTTTTCATTTACTGAATAATAAAATATGTTGTTTCTAGTATGTGCTTATTGAAATCTATGAAGTAAAAATATAGTACCCCTCCCTTATCTGTATTTCCAGACCTCTAGTGGGTACCTAAAACCATAATAGTACTGAACCCAATATAGTTTTCCCTGTACCCAGTATACCTATGGAAATGGTACATTTATAAACTAGAAGACCGGTAACATAAAATGTGTTGTTTTGTTTTGTTTTGTTTTGTTTTGTTTTGTTTTGTTTTGTTTTGTTTGAGACAGGGCCTCACTGTGTAGTGCAATCTGGCCCACTTAGTAGCCCAGGCTTACCTCGAATTCACAGATACCCTCCTGCCTCAGGCTCCTGAGTGCTGGGATTACAGGTGTTCCCCACCACTCCAGTTCATGTTTTCACTTAAATGAAGCACTTTACATCTTCTCTTTGGTACAGCTGAGTTTTCAGCATCATTATTTTTAGGTTTTGTGTCCTTATTAACCAAAATAAGGGTTCACTTGAACACAAGTACTGTGTTATGTTGAAAATTGATTTGCCAGCCTGCATGACCACAAAGGGACTAATGATCAGGTAGTATATATGGTGTGGACACTGTAGAGAGAGAGAACTGACTCTTGTCCTGTAAGGAAGAGCAGAATGCTATAAGATTCCATTGCATTCTCAGAATGGCATCCAATGTAAAACTTACAAGATGTTTATTTTTGGAATTTTCCATTGAATGTTTTTTATCATTGTTAGCTCTGGGTTACAGAAATTTCAGAAAAATGGCCCCAGATAAGGTGGCCATTGTAGCTAATATCTGAAAAAGATGAGTAAGCAGTGTGTTCCAATGGAAAGAGTAATACGTTAAAATCAGGAAGAAAAGTCTGAATTTCAGCTGGCAAATAGAAAAAACACTTTTATATATGGTATGAATGTGAATTTACTGTGATCGTGAATTAAAAGTGACTAACTTGGTCCCTGGAATATTAACACATTAATAAATTTAAATTTCCTTTTCTATTTTCCCCCATAATTCTTTGGAAAGAATTAAAATTTTAGTCCCTTTGTCTTCAGTCTTTGAGAACACTGTATAGTTACTATAGGTACATAAAGAGGTAATAAGTTAAAATTTACATTTTTAAATTTTTTACTAAGTTAGAATCTGGTTTTTATATCCTCATTGTATTTTAAAACTGTACAGTAACTGTGTAGCAGCAACAGTATTGATGAGTTTTTAACATGACCACTTCTTTCTGTAATATATACATTTATATATGATGTTTATACTGAAAAATAGTAAGTTGTATTTGAGTGTTTACCCAGGATTTTAACATAATTTCACTTAATATTTACAATTTTGTAAGGTTAAGTAACATTCAAGGTCAAAGTTTTCTTTCAAGTCATTGACTTTTTTTTCCCCTCAGACAGTTCAGTTTGTTCAAGGAATTTTTGTTGAAAAATACGACCCAACGATAGAAGATTCCTACAGAAAGGTAAAATGTAAAACTGTGTACAAGTGTTTGCAATTATATCCTTAGATGTTTAAAACTTGATCTTTGGAATCCCTTTTTAGAAATAGCTTTGAGGCTGGGCACGATGGCACATGCCTGTAGTCCTACCACTTGGGAGGCTAAGCCAGGAGGATCGGTGTGAGCTCAAAGCCAGCCTGAACTACATGGCAAAGCCCTGTCTTAAAAAGACAAAAATGAAAAAAATTTAAGTTTCTAGCCACTGGAAGTAGACCTGCCCAGCCCTTAAGGCTGTGGCTGGGTTGTTCTTGCCCAATATTTAATCCCAGTGGTGTTAGCTCCTTTTCTCCTTTCTCTCCTTGCTGAGACAAAATACGTGACACCCACAATTAAAGGAGAAAAAGTTTATTTGTCTTACAGTGTGTAGAGGTTTCAGTCCATAACGGACTGGCTCTAGGGCAAGGCGCTTAGGCAGAGGGCCCAGAGGAGAAATAGCTCATGGTGGACAACAAAAGCAAGCCTGAGAAGGGAGCGACAAGCCTCTTTGTGCCCTTTTCATTTCCTCCAGACTGCTGGGATGGGTGGTCGCAGTCCAGTCAGTGGGCTGATCAGCAGTCACCCACCTTTAATCCCAGCATCATTAGGCCTAGTATTGAGCCATGAATCAGCCACAAACTAGGGTCACCTACCTCTGAAAAAGCCCTGCAACTGCATGAGGCTTTAGGGGAGAGCTAGAGACAGCCCTAAGCCCATCACCACAGTCACAAGATACCAAATGTGTGTATCAGCCTGTGTGTTGGTGACCTGTCTCTGAGCTGTGCGTTTGTTCTGCCACTGCATTTGTGTACTTTTAACATTTATATAAACGATAAATTCATAATGACTTCTAGAAATAATAAAATAGTCTTAAGAATGATAAAAATGTGCTATATCTGTTTTTAAAAGTTTCACCAAGACAGAATGTTTCTCTAAGGTATACAGAGCTCCATGTTTTAGTCTTGATTTGTAATTTATTCTTTATACCTTTCCTAGTGGGGAATTTTTAAAAGAAAAAAATGGATTTCATTAAATATTTGTATTTTCAGCCACTTTTTGCTAACAAAAATTAATATCATTTTTATGCTTGAAGTTATCCAGTGAGTTGTATAATACATTTAGTAAAGATATTTTACCTTCTGACTACCAAAAAGTTAGTTAGAATCTGTACGATGGTATAATAGGGATACATGCCACACGTGTCAAAACCCATAGAATGCATAATGTCAAAAGAAGACTGAGATGGAAGCCATGGGCTTTTGGTGATAATTGTATCAGTGTAGGTCCAGCAGTCGTGGCAACCCGA